CCCCGGGGGGGCAGGATCTGCGTCCCAAGCCTGGCCCCACCCATCGCTGGCCTGCGCCTGCCACCTCCCTGCACCCTCTGGCTCTGACTTACCTGGGTGTTCGTCAGCCCAACGCCTCCCAGCTCCTCAGGCACCTGCAGCCCAAAGGCTCCCATCTCCTTCAGCCCGGCCAGGGTGGCCTCCTCAACGTGCTCCAGCTTCTCGTTTTCCGCAGCATCATTGACCTCCTGCAGCAGAGCGGGATCGCTGGCCTGCGCCTGCCACCTCCCTGCACCCTCTGGCTCTGACTTACCTGGGTGTTCGTCAGCCCAACGCCTCCCAGCTCCTCAGGCACCTGCAGCCCAAAGGCTCCCATCTCCTTCAGCCCGGCCAGGGTGGCCTCCTCAACGTGCTCCAGCTTCTCGTTTTCCGCAGCATCATTGACCTCCTGCAGCAGAGCGGGGCGAGTGAGAGGGGCAAGCGCCCAGCCACCGCTGCTGGCCAGTGTGGGCCACGTTTGGCACCACCTTGGACGGACCAGCCGGGCGCTGGCATGTTAGGGCCAGATGCTGCTGTCAGTCAGCCTGATAGTCGGGGGTCGGGGTGTGATCTGTGCCCCAGGCTTTCCTCCCTCTGCCCCACCCCGCGCCCCCAGCCTGGCCTGGCTCTCTGGGGAGGGCTGGGCCTGGCAGAGGCCCAGCTTCAAATATCCTACTTGAACTGCGGCTCCGCAAACAGTCCAGCCCTTCCTCAGGCCGAGCCCACCCCTCAGCCTGATGGATGGGGCGCTTGGCAGGAGACGTGGGCTCTCGGGAAACCGCAATCCTTAGGGGTGTGTGCATCCTCCGGCTTCCGAAAGAGGGGTCTTAAATGGTGGCGAGAAGGGTGTCACTGTCCGAGGAAGACAGAGTCCGTGTGTCTGAAACAAACACCGGGCTCATCCACTGTCGGATCGGCCACTGACCTCGAAGAAGCGGGTGCAGGGATCCACCAGGGCTTGCAGGAACTGCGTCTGCTCCTCGGACAGCACTAAGGGGCACAACGCTGGATTAGCAGGGTGCATCTAACCCAGTGGTTCTTAAACGTTTTAAGACCAAGGAACACCAAACAATTTTTTTTTATGAGAAACACCAAAGATTTTTTGTTGAGCAAAAAAAAAAGGGAGGGGTCGGGGGGAAAGTTATTGAAAAAAAAAGGTCGCCTGCCCCTTTAAGGGCGGCCATTTTGAACTCTGTTTGTCTCTGCGGCACGGAACACGGCTTAAGAAATACTGATCTAACCCTTGTCGCTTTATTACATGATTTGCCAGCATGTGAGGCGCCTGCTGAGCCGGGATGTTTGTCCTGAGTTCGGCTCTCGCTCAGACGGGGATTCTCCCAGGGACGGCCCATGGGCTATGTTATGCAGGGAGTCACATGAGCTTTGCTTCTCAGACTTCAGGCACCCGGGAGCAGCTTGCTTCCTTCCCAAAGGGCGTCAGGGGGCTCTCAGGGACTGATGCCGGCCTATGGACTAGTCCGTGAGGAACACTGGACTAGAGGGTCATAGCGGCCTTAGGCTCTATCAATCTGCCTGTTGGGGAAGCTCTAGCTCCGCAAATGGCCACAGGTGCTGGCTAGTGCTTCTCCCTTCCAGGCTGCTGGTTTGAATCCTGCCCCGGCACACGGGCCTCGGAATCATCTCAGCCCACCGGTGTCCCCACCACAAGCGTCACCAGCGGGGTTGGCCCCGTGGCTGCAGACTGAGCCAAGAGGCCAGGATTCCACTGAACTAGCCTCTGGCGGGGGTGGGGAGCTATGTGGCCTGAGGGGGATGACGTCGGTGGCTTTGCACCCCAAGGCCAGTGCGCCAGGGTCACTCCGAGTGCGAAATCTGCAAGGAAACGATAACGAAAAACCACCTACCTGAGGGGAAGGGGAAAACGTTGTCGGGTACGAGCTGCCCGTTGAACAGGTTCATGACAAAGGAGGTGGATCCCTGGAGGAGGAGACAGGGCTCAGGAGAGCACGTACACAGAGGGGCCCTGCAGAGCCAAGCGGTGCTAGGCGGGGGAAGCTCAGGGTTGGCTTTGGCCCAGCTCGGAGCAGGGTGCTCAGGAGAACGGCCCCTGGAGTGGCTGTAGATCCAGGCACCTGCCGGACATGCTGAGATGCACACTGCCGGGTACTGTGATGGGGGGGGGGGGGTTTTTCGCCCCGCGAGCCGTCCAGGGACTCTGGG